GGGAGAAGCTGGCCACGGCTGCTTTCCTCCTGAAAAGATAAGAAATCAAATAGATGAACAGAAACAAAAGCAGAAACTGTTCCCAGCACAGGAAATGTTGTGAAAGGAAAAAAAATGAAAGTGGGAATGGCGAAATTCATTTCAGAGGATGCCTGAAACGCCCTTTAGGAATGCTGTTGCTAACTTCTGTTGCCATTCTGATAACTTCACAGCATTCAAAGGCTTCAAATTTCAGTAACACAACCCTCCTTCTGGGATGGTTGAACAACTAGGTCTAGTTGTTGGTGCACAATACAGATAATAATCTTTGACATGACCACCATTGAGCCCAAAATTTCTGCTGCAAAGGGAGACAGTGAGGTGAATTTTGGCCCATTTTATGACCTTTCTTGCCACAGTTGTTAAGTGAATCACTGTGCCAACTCATAAAATATTTTGTATACATATTTTATAGTTGTCAACAGAAAGAAGGGGGGGAGTTTCAAAGAGCAGGCAGGAGAGTGGAATCAAAAGTACATTCCATTCATATTTTCTTCAGAGACTGATTAGATGACTGAAGCTTCTGCCTTGCAAAAATCTAATTGGAAGGCATGATTGATGACTCTTGACTATGGAAGTATTTCATTGGATGATGCACCCAGAGGGGTGGGGCTGGGGGTAAAGCAGGATCAAGGGTGACAGTGAATTACGTATCTCAGTTGGCTATGCCCAGGCTAATTGCCGGCATGTTAACTTCTAATAAATCCTTTCAAGGTTTGGGAGTGTGGCTCGATGCTCATGATTTAACTGGAGTAACGGCCGGAATCCTGACACAGTGCAGTTGTGAAGTTAGTAAACAAGGTTGTTAAGTGAATCCGGCTTCCCCATCGACTTTGCTTGTCAGAAGGTCGCAAAAGGGGATCATGTGATCCTGGAATACTGCAACCAGTTGTCAAGTGTCTGAATTTCGACCATGGGGATGCTGCGATGGTTGTAAGTGTGAAAAACGGTCTTAAATCACCTTTTCGGTTTAAATGGTCACTAAATGAACTGTTGTAAGTCAAGGGCTCCCTGTATGCTTTCTTTAACGCACTTGATGTTGAAAGAAATGCTGCACCATATCAATCACATTTCGTGTGAGTGGTAGGGAAGTGAAAAGGCAAGTAGGGTGTAATGTTTGAGGGTTCAAGTTTGAGGTGACTTGGGCTAGTCAGTATCTAATAGACAAAACAACAGGGAAAACATTCTATACAGAAAATTCTTGTTTAGCTACCACAATAGGGATCGGCAACTTGGTCATTAAGTGAAGCAGTCAGTAAGTGAACCTGACAACTTATCCTCTGATCTCAGCTTTCCTTTTCTTTACAGACCTGCAAAGATCATAAATGCAAACACTGGTCAAAAATTACTTTTTCATCTTCATTGCCACTATGCACTCAATGAGGACTATCTCTACATGCTACCTAGAGCTCTGAAAAGAAAATGGGATATAAATCTAACTCTGCATGGTAGCCAAACAGAAATGTTTTAGCTGTTACTGCTTCTTAGAGAGCTAGGAATTAACTCTGGTGCATTTATTGCAATATAAAGTATTTTAAAGATATGGCAGTAAATCTTCAAATCTGTCTTGGGTGCCTCCCTTGTCTCTATTTGACGAGGATTTCATGAATTGGATCCATGTTGATTCCACTGCTTGGAACCATTCAGAAAAAAAAAAACCTTCAGCCAAGCTCCAGCTCCAGCTGCAAGTCTTTGGACTTAGACTTATTTGGCCCAATAAAATGCATGCGCACGAAACTACCCAAACTGATATAAATCAATTTAGAGACTTACCCTGATCCTCCCATAGACCGTACCACCTTATTCCCTTGCAATGAGATATTCTAGCATCTCTGTGTCTATCTCTAGAGATTAAGAGCATTTTTTCCCACATCTTTTCTCATAATTCGGTTGAAAAATTCAATCAAAGTTAAACATATTAAAATTCCATTGATTTCACTAGGGCAATTAAGTTGGATGTGTGTGTGTAAGAGAGAGAGAGAGAGAGAGAAAGACAGAGAAAGAGACAGAGAGACAGACAGAGAGAGGGAGGGAGGGAGAAAGAGAGAGAGAGAGAGAATGGGGTTTCCAAGTACTCCTTAATAAAATACACTCAAATACGACCTTACATTCAGTTAACTGAAAATATGCTCCATAAAACTGAGAAAATCTATTTTGAAAAAAAAGCATCTGCAAGATGATGTCATAAAAATGATGCTTGTGCCTCTCAGGAATTCAGGGCGAGGGATAAAAACAATGCCGGTTACATAAATTAGCAAACTTGATATTCCATAGATCCTAACCCCATCGTCATGTTCTACTTCTACCACATTTCTGTTGAATTTCCTACTCTGACGTATACTTTTTTGGGGGAACAACCTGGTCAAGTTGATTGTGGAATTCTCATTTTCTATGTGTCCATGATCCTACCATAGACTAACCAGAATAAGTGAGGTTAAAATTAGCCAAGCTTAGCAGGCTTAGCAAGGTTTTAAGTGGCCTGGTTAAATTTAAATTTAAAACGAGGACAACCAAACAGTGGAATGGCTTCCCTCTGGAAGCTGTAAGTGCTCCATCACTGGAGGTTTTCAAGAAGAGAT